AAAAAAAAAAAAAAGGCTGGGGCACCCTGGTGGCTCAGTCACTTGAGCATCTGGCTCTTGATTTCAGTTCAGACGGTGATCTCATGATTTGTGAGTTCAAGCCCCACTTCAGGCTCTACGCTGACAGCCAGGAGCCTGCTTGGGATTCTCTCGTTCCTCCCCTCTCAAAATAAACTTGAAAACAAAGTGGGGGGGGGGCAAAGTGGCTATGCTCACCTACAACCCCCACCTTTTTCTTTTTTCTACACACTTGCTTCACTTGGGCTTTCTCCTGGTGTGCGGTGTGAACTATGGTGACTTTTCTCAGACGGCCAGCCGGCTATTCCAAGGACGCTTATCACAGAGCCTCCTCCTTTCCCCTGACTTGAGACTCAGACCTTCCCTCACCCTAAATTCTTCTCGTGGTAGTGTTCTCCTCTGGACTTTCCGCTCTGTTTGTGTGTTAAGACTACACTGTTTCAGTGGTTGCAGCTACAGTTACAGCTGGCCCATCTCTCAAGTCTAGCCCCCAGACCTCTAGCTCAGTCCACTCAGTATTGGAGCTGGGGAAACTGAGGCAAGGCACAATTTGGATTTGGGTCTTTGTTGAGACAGAGCCTTGCCCTGCCCCCTTCTCTCCTTCCCACACTGACATCCCACTGACCTCACTCCTCTCCGGCTCAGTGGCTCCCACTCACCAGGATAAAATTCCTTTTACGTGACACGTCACCCTTTACATCTGGCCTTCCCGCTGCGCCGGCCTGTGGCTCTGTGACATGTCTGTAGTTCTTCCCATCCCTCCCCTCACACATGCTGCCTTTCTTGCTCTCTGCAGTCGCCTAAGCTGGGCTGGTTCCTGCCCCTGTGCCCACAGCCCCTCCACTTCCCTTGGATGCGGTGCTGGGCCCTTTGCCACCATTCCGGCCTCCCCCGAGGGGTGCTGAACTGCTCCGGGGCAAACACGAGTTAGCCCTGGCCCGGGGCCACCTGCCTGGCCCAGCGTCAGTGACCCGGGTCCCTTGTGCTCCTCCCCCGCCCCTGGCAGGTGCCAACATCGCCTCTGGTGAAGAAGTTGCCATCAAGCTAGAGTGTGTGAAAACGAAGCACCCGCAGCTGCACATCGAGAGCAAGTTCTACAAGATGATGCAGGGGGGAGGTGAGAGCTGGTGGGGCCTGGGGGCGGAGCGTGAGGAACTGTGCATGAATATGCGCGTGCGTTCACAGGAGGGCCTACCCTGACGCCCCCCCCCC